TGACTGAGTCACTTAGGCGCCTCTAAAATTCTATTTTTTTTTTTTTACCATATCTCAATAACTAAAAAGCTTGAAGACTTGGGGTTCTGTCTTTAGTTTTGTATCAACCTACATAAGGACAAAGCCTTTGTGAAAAGTAGTACTACCCAGTGGTGAAGTATATGAGATTCCACTCAAATGCCTGCATCCAAATAGCAGTCCTTACACTTAGTGGTGTGTGAGCATTGCGTGCGGCCAGTTGCTACACCCATTTAAGTCTCAATCTCTTTCTATGTAAAATGAGGATAATAATAGTACCTACCTCATAGGATTCATGAGTATTAGGTGATGTTAACACAATCACAGAGCTTAGCATGCTGTCCAATACTTAGTAAGCTCTCAGTGAATATCAGCTGTCTTCACGGTTACATGCAGGAATTAAGGATTGAAGATTTTTTTTTAAAGTTTTATATTTATTTTGGGAGAGAGAGGGACCATGCACATGAGTGGGGGAGGGGCAGAGAGAAAGAGAGAGAGGAAAAGAGAAAGGATCCCAAGCAGGCTCTACACTGTCAGCACAGAGCATGATGGGCCACTTGAATCCTCCATCCTCAAGATCATGACCTGAGCTGAAATCAAGAGTCAGACACTGAGCCAACTGAGCCCCCAGGAGCCCCAACATTGATGATGTTTATTAGGACATTCATTAGTTTCCAGGAGCTGCCATTGCCAAGTACCACACATTGGGTGGCTTAAAACAACAGAAATTGCTTCTCTTGCAGTTTTGGGGTGGAGGTTGAAAATGAAGGTGTTATTAGGGCTATGCTTCCTCTGAAGGCTCTATGAGAGGGTTCCTCCTGTCTCTTCCAGCCTCTGGTGGCCCAGGCATCCCTTGGCTTGTGGCTGCACCACTTGAATCTCTACCTCTGTCTTCATGTGACCTTCTCCTTTGTGACTGTGTGCCTCTCTGTGTCCTGGCCTCTTCTTCTAAGGAGTCTCTTGCTGGATTTAGGACCCACCCTAATTCAGTATGACCTCACCTTAATCACATCTACAGAGCCATATTTCCAAAGAAGGTCACATTCTAAGGTTCTGTGGGGACATGAATTTGGGGGAGGTAGACACTATTTAACCACTATAGCATTTAATTACAAAAATTAAATACAGAAATTGTTTAGCCACTACAGGTCTGTTATTTTGCCTCTTGTTTAAAAACACATAGAAAACACAAAGAGAGTTTGCTTCTAAAGATGTTGGTAATTTCTGGTTTGAAATCAAAATGAGGTTGATAGTCATAAAGTTTTCTAGTGTTTTGGGGTTTGACTCTCTAAGAAGAAACGGGCCTAATTAGTGAAAACCATCCTTGGCATAGTCTGGCAACTATCCATTTGGTCTCCAGTGTAGATCCTCACTGATCTTGGGGCTGACACACCCAGACCCATAGCTGAGGCTTCCACATTGTCTGGGTGCTGCTCTGTTTCTAGAAGCATCCTCAGCCTTAGCTGATGGGTTGCCAGGGAATTCTGTCATGGAATGGAACTATCTCAGCTGAGTTAAATCACTGCTGGGTGGTGAACATGAGAAAATGGGCTACTGTGTGCTTTTCTGGACAGATGATGGGACTGGTTGTACGGTCCCGTCATAGGTATCCAGGAAGCCTTTGGCTTCCTTGCAAAACATGACCCTGCTGCCACCACCACCACCCCCACCCCCCCAGCCAGCATGCCTATTCACATGCAGGTGGCCCTGGGAGAGCTAATGCCTGAGCTGGTGATCAAATCTTTATAGATTCATTAGAAGAAAGTTGGGAGCCTCCTTGATAAGAAACTAGAGGAAGGCAGAAAGATCTTTCTCGTGTATATAGATTTTCTGGCAGGGGATTGTGAGTAAAGGTGCATCATCTATGAAGCAAAAGGGAGTTGTCAGGTGGGACCTGCTTGAATCTAGCCCTGCCCTCCTGAGCTTAATGACGTGGCAGCTCATGGTAATTTGATTTACAAACACAACCATATATTCACTCAAGAGAAAGAGAAATAGGGCAAGTAGGTAGGGGAGGTGGCAGGATTGAGTCAGAGATAGATTGAGGCTGAGACAAGGAATGTGCTCCCAGGGTGTGGGGGATGGAGAATAAAAGAAAGGGGGAGGAGGTAGATGGAGATGGAGGCGGTCGGGACAGAGAGATGGAGGGAAGAGGGAAAGAAAGGAGAAAGGAGGGAGGGAAGGAAGGAAAGACAGAGAGGAAGAGAGAAAACCAGAGAATTTAAAGAGTGTGTCCCATTTGCCACCATTCCCCTGATGACCTCCTAGTGGGGGAGACCCCTGGGTGATTTGTCCCCCTTGGCTACATTGGGTCCTTGCCTATCCTAGTGTGTGCCTTACATGTGGCTGAATGTGACACAAATGTCTCAAGGTTTTTATTTTCATACAACTTGGCCCCAACAAGGCAATACCTCCTCTAGCGCTGCAAGCAGGGTAAAGAACTGGGCTCTGTTAAATGCACTGAGAGATGAATCTTTTGGAGCTGATTTAATTCTACACAATTTCACCCGAGACACTATTCCATTCCAGAGAGCATGGCCAGGTGGTATCTGATTTCTGGTTCACAATCAGATATTTTCTAAGCAGAGACAGTTGACCCTTGATAAGAACTCTGCCTCTTAGTACTGTTCTTCCCCAAAACAGGAACAAACAAGGAAGTCAGAGAATACATCATTGTATAAAGAGTAGAAAATATAGCACACAACAGAAATGAAACTAAATATGGGGCTTTTTACCTCCCCTAAAAGTAATGGAAGTCAATATTTTGGTGTGTTTTCTTATAGTTTGCTTTCCTCCTGTGTGTGTGTGTGTGTGTGTGTGTGTGTGTGTGATTTTGTATAAACATGTAGTCAAGGTGTCCACCTGCATCATTCACTTAGCAAAATGTAAATGCTCCTCACATCCACAAGCACAGACTTGTATTATCAAAGGATGGCTCACGAAGGACTTTCATGAACTCATTCTTTGGCAGGTGACTGTGACCACTGTCTAGAAGTTGAGATTTTTGGCTGCAGCCCCATTTTGAGGGTGTGATCACAGGAGCTGCACATGGCTCGAGTCACCCTGGGAGGTGACCCAGAACAGAGGGGGCACATGGCTGGAGGCGTCACAGGGAAGATGAAGTCCATGAAGGAGCTTGCAAACGAAGCTCGATTCCTTTCAACCAGAACTCCCATTTTTGTCCCCAAGTCAAGAAGATACTTGTATTGACTCAGAAAGATGCCCACAGATAGTTTGCAAATATGTTTTTCAGTTTTTATTTTTATTTCTGTGAAAGCCCTGAATGGAATCAAACGTAAACTCACCCTGCTAAACAGACATTATGAGAATATTTAGGTGTCCTATGTGTAAATTCTTTGAAATATTGTCACGGGAAAGACACAAGCTTCATTTAATTTTAACATTGGCTGTGCCGGAGGGTATATACCCCTGCCTTTGTATTTGTGAATATTGCTTATTAACCCCCGGAAGTTCTGTATGAGCCATTGTGTTTAGCCTAACTCTCCAAAAAAAGTAAGGGGATCATGATATTCTTTAGATTGGTACTTATGTAGTGGAATCTCTCAGGCATTAAGACTTACTTGATTGCATTCAGACATTGCTTTGGCAACAGAATGACTACATTAAATTAGCATCAAGCACAATGAATGGTAATTGCAAGACTGTCATTCCTACAAGTGCAAAATTAATGTGTTCTGTAAACCCATTTCATTGTGTGGCACAGGGAAATCATGGAGCCATGTTGTTCCGAGCAGAAAAACGCCCTGTAACAGCACTGTTAATGCGTTACCGTATTATTCAGTGATGGTGTTCTTTTCCACCTCTGTTGTTGTCTCGTGCTCATTCTTCAAACCCTGCTCGACCTCATCTGTATGCTCATATTGCAGCACCGCCAGACAGTAGCCTGGATGTACAGAGAATGTTGTGGAACAATTCCTCCTTCAGTGCGGCATCTTGTGTGAATAATGCCAGCATAAACCATCCTCCACGTATTCATGAGAGTATGAATAGGCTACTTATGTAAAGCTTCTTATTAAGAGATAGACCGACCGTTGACAGAAAACTTTACCCAAATACTATACATTCATTTAGACAGAGAGGAATGATTTACATGCATTTCAGTGGTAGCTTAGGAAAAGTACCAGCTCCGCCTGGCTCCATCCCTCTTATTTACATATGGGAAATGAAGCCACAGACCAGGTGAGTGCATTCCTTCCAGTCGTGTAGGATCACAGGGTATTTCTTGAATGACAACATGCATATGCATTGGGGTCCCGTAGTCTGCTGATTGGTTCTGCATAATTTATTAGGGATTAAAGACTCATTCAAGCCTGAAATGATGCACTAGTAACAGGTGCTTGAAGCTGACTGATCAGAGGTGGTATCTCATTATTCCTGCAGTTTGGCTAAGGCTGAGAACCACTCATAGAGGCATCCGGTGTAAGGGTAATAATAATGATAGTGACAATAACTGGCCAGACAGGTTTCCTTGTGAGTCCAGCTCAAATCCAGTCTCTTGGCAGTGAGGGTTGGGGGCGGGGGCGGGCATCCAGACTGCTGGTGCCCTGACTGATTCGCTGCAACAATCTATCAGTCTGCAAGGTCGCCAACAGACCCCCTCTGACCTCCCTGAGTGGAGGGTCAGGCCTGAGTCCCCCTTTCAGAGGTCACCTACTTTGTCACTCACCATTAAGGTGTTATGGGGATATTTGCTTTGGAATGCTCTAGCCTGTGCACGGTCTACTGGAATTTGGCTGGAATTCCTCACACACACACACACCCAGAGCTCCTCTCCTCTTAGTGAATGACAGAGATCAGAGAGTAATTTAGGGAGACTTCTCACGGAAGGTGGGAGAAGAATTCTGAACATCATACTCTCAGAATGGAGCACACTGTGGACAGCTTAAAAATCACAAAATAGATGATTTCTGTAAAAATGGGCTTATCTGTAAAAGTGGCCGTGGAAAGTGGCTCGGTCTTACCCTTGTTGCAGAAAGTTCCATCATAGGCCGTGTTGGAGCAGTCGCAGGAATAGCCGTGGTACTTCTCCAGGCACCTGCCCCCATTCTCACAGTTGGCCCCGTAGCTGGTGCAGTGGCCGGAACATCCAGATTTGAATCCGGACGTGACCTTTGCTCTTTCCTCCAGGTCCAGAGTCACCCCGTTCATCCTCAGGGAGCGGATGCAGCCCAGGAAACCCTGCTGGCCCCCAGCACCACCTGGGAACGACAGAAGGCACAGGGCTCAGACGGGATTACCTGTGCTGTGGCTCCCGGACCCAGTGGCGGTAGACGAGGAGACTGCTAAGAGTGGCCAGTATTCTCACTTTCGAGCTGGCCCCACCTAATAGCAAAAGCTCTAAGCTTTTCCTCCGTAGGCCATTAATGTCTAATGAAAAGAGGCTGTCTTCTAAGAAGCCATAAATTTGCCACAGAAAGAAAATGTTTGGAGATACACAAAAATTATATACAGTGTTTTGGAAACCTAATCTGGTTTCCTAAAGAAGTTTATAGAAACCTCTAGGTGTTTTTGTTCTTTAATCTCACAGCATTCACTTCCAGAGCATTATCTGCTGAAAGAAATATAAAGAGGCAGAGAAACATGAATATATTAGCATAGTTAACAAGTCAATTAGTTGGAAGGCTTAAATCCATTTGAAATGTGATCGCACGTCCCGGGTCCTGGCTTTTGTCTTAGGTAGTACTTGGCTTTGAAGTTCACATGAAGGCTTCCCAGGGCTTCTAGGGGGTCAGAAGTTGGAACTGATAATTTTACATGGAAGTCAGCCACACCACATTTATTACCAGGTCAGGTTAGATTTCACTGCTTTTGTCTAAATGCCATTGCAAGGCATATAGCACAAAGAGCAAGTTCACTGTGATTTTCTAAGTTACAGCGTTAGACAGAGGCTCACGAGCATGAAAATATTAAAATATTCCTAACAAATTTCATAGAGAGATTCACTGGAGCATTATATCACAAGTGAATTTAATTATGTCTGGAGTAACCTTGGCTATGATTTTTTTAAGCAGCTGGTACAAAAGGAGGAACTCAAGTTTATATACACATCTGCATCTCAGAGTAACGACTTTTCTGGAAATTAGAATGATCAGTCGTTAAAATGATTAAAAGAAATACCTGCTGGGGATTTAGAAAAAAATACTGTTAATAAAGTTACCTTTTTTTAATTTTTTTGAGGGCTATGTTGTAGGTACTCTACGAAGCACCTTACTTATGTCACTCACTCGATTCACCCAAGAGCCTGGTGAGGCAGGCATTATCATCATTACCCGCACGGAATGGATGAGGAGGCTGAGGTTTACTCAAAGAGCCATAGTTCTAAAATGGCAAAGTTGGGTTAGTTCTGTCTTATTTTTGAGTATGGTGTTAAACTCCATTCTGTGTTGACCATTTAATACAGATGATGGGCTTCAGGGTCCATCATCTACTACTGATGATGTACTGACGTACATCTACTGATGTACGTGTTTTCAAGATACAGGCTGGGATGCCTTTAAAAGCGGCATGATCAATAGGATTGTCAGCATTTGGATGAGACCGGTAGCTGGGGATAGACTCCGATCACTTATCCTGGTATATTGAGAAGAAGCACACCATTGAGTCAACTATCAGATGGGGCTGGCGGATCAAAGGCTTTAGTCACAGAGATGGATTCATTTGCTTAGGTGTGTAAATCCTCTGCCATGAAATGGCAAGTGACTGCCTCTGTGATCTTTATAAACCCAAACCTTGCCTTCTTTCATTGTCTGGCACATAGGTTTGAATGATGATTCTCCAGGGATTATTACTTATTATCAAGTAAAATAATTGAGGAAAGGATTAATTGAAGAGACTTTAATGCCCTTTTTGATCAAAGCTCCGAAATAGTAGATGGCAAGAGAAGTTCTTAAAAAACAGCCACTTTGAAGGATTTCCCATTTCACAATCTGCTCATCAGCCGAGCTTCATATACCCCTGTGCTGAAGAGAATTTGGGCCTTTGCTGTGATTTGGAAGAATTTCAATCCATGTGTTAAAATTTCAATTTGGTGTCTATCATTTTAGTGACTATGGCTTTCTCTCTTGCCATAAGGGATTTCCAATGGGCCTTTTGTTCAACAAACGCCTAGCCATTTAATTTTTCATCACTAGTCAATTAAGACAATGATAGCCTATCAAAATACACAGAAATTTTTAAGTCATTGTCTTTAGATATCTCCCGCTCCTTTTCTTTATTACAAATGTAATAGTTTTTCATTGTGGAAACCATAAACACCCTGATAAGCAAGATGAAAAAGAGAATCTGCAATGCTACTCAGCTAGAACTACTTTTACTTTCAGCAAATAGCCTTTTCTACTTTTATCTATGAACATACATATGTACAAAAAAATAAAGCAAAGGAAGAAATGGGATCACGATACACACATTGTTTTGAAATTTGCTCTTTGCACTTAATATATTGTAAAACGTTTTTCAAGCAATAAATGTATGACTAGAACATCTTGTTTAACATCTGCAAAACATCTCATGTTGTGAATGCTCTGTAACTTATTTTGCTATTCCTACCATTGGGTTTTTAAGTTTACTCTAGTTTTCATTTTACATGACACTCTAATAAATACCCTTGTAAAAATCTTTACACACTTGTTTAGTATTTCCTTAGAATTAATTCTTCGAAGTGCAATTGCTGGATACAAAGGCATACATATTTTGAAAGCATTTAAAATACATTTTCCTCTAAGAGTTTGTCAATCTGTATTTCACCTTTTTGACGTCAATTCGAACACTAGGCAGAATCCTTTTGAATTTATGGGCTAAAGAAAAAAAAGAGTTTATTGTTGTTTTTAAAGAAAAAAAGAGTTTATTGTTTTAATTTGTATTGCTTCAAACACTGTGAGTTGGATAATTTTTATGTTTTCACCATTCTTAGTTTTTGTTTCTTAATGTCCTTTCCTATTTTGGGGGAATAGGAGAGGATATATTTCTTATTGATCAATAACAGTATTTTTGGCTTTAACTCTGTTATAAATTTGGCTACTATATCCTTCCAGACTATGTCTTTAACTTATATATGGTGTTTCTTTTTCTCTGTGCATGTTTATGTAGTTTATATAGTCCTATCCATCTTTCTTATTTGTACAATTTATGCCTTTGGTATTAAGCTTTTATAAAGCCTAATCTAAAAATAATATAATAAACCTAATATGAAATAATATAATTATTCAACTATATTTTCTTCTAGCACTTTTATGATCACTTCTCTTAGCACTGTGATCTTTAATCTATCTGGAATGTATTGTAACTTAGACATAACTTCTATATAATGGGTCTTACTAATAGTTGTGAGTTTGAAGAAGAGATTTTTAGATGTTAATACAAAAAAATTTTTGAAGATTTGAAAAGTCCAGTTGGCAGAGCAAATAAATCTAGGTTAGATCATATTTTTATGATATCATTAAGGTAAATAGATTTATGTGTGTGTACTTATTTCTGTATACAGTCCCCAAGGGGTTTTTCTCTCTGCCTCTTTGTCTTTGATTCTTTTTGATCTTGGTCATTCTGAGGCTCTGCATCTATCAGTCTTTCTGCCTCTGTGCCTGTATATCTCTCCCTATCAGGGCTGTTGACCATTTTGGGTTAGTTGTGTGGCTCTCATCAAGTCACTTAATCTCTCTCAGCATCAGGTTTTCCTGTCCATAAAAAGGGAGTTTGAACTAGATTCTGTCTCCAGTTCCTTCCAGCTCTAAATTAGTCCAGTGCATGATGTACAACCTTCCTCTGCACTACTGCATCTCCATCTCTATATTTCAGTAAATTACTCTCAGTTTCTCCTAAATTTACTTCTTTGTACTATTGCCTGACCTTCCCTTTACTTCTGTTAATTGACCGTATGATATGAGTGTGTTCTAATTTTTATTTGTTGCATTCATTAAATAAGGTTTTGTACTCCCTCTTCTCAATTTATAAAGCAGGTAAATTGGAATTCCATTTCTCTCTGTATAAAAGAAAACCAAATAAGTTATGCACTTTTCTTACTTAGATGACCCCTGATTTGTTAAATGGGTCAGTGATCTGGAAAGTACTTTTACTGATCTACTTGATATGAAGAACAAAATGTTTTGTCCTGAAAATGGTCATTATATGTTATACAAAAGATGTTAATGCACTAGAATCAGTGATAATTACTTGAGTTCAACTTATGTGCTTTATAGAAATCTCTCTTGGTGACAAATGTCAGAAGTTTAAATTGTAGGTCTGCAAGCAAAAATGCTACTTAGCCTTTGTTAATTAAAAAATCAACACACTGTCATTGGAGAGAGCTCCCTGCCTTGCAAGGGCTTCATGCACATTAGTCAGACCTGTGATAATTATCCAAGGTGAGATGTGGGTTTAATTTGTAAATCATTTTTCATGTGAAATGCTATTCAAGTATTGCAATTAAAGATTAATTATAAAAAGGTTTTATCTACCCATAACGAATAGTACAACCACCAAATGCACAGAAGACTGGGGCAAAAAGAATCAGGTATTAAATGAAGCAAAACAGGTGAAAATAATGATCAAGAGGAATTCTAAAAAATACAGTGTCCTCAAACTCAGAGCTCAGTCTTTTTCTGAGGAGCTAAGTGGGATTCCAGAGTGCCTTTGCCCACAGAGACTGGCCATTCATTCACCAGAGAAAGGAATCGCACCAAAGCTTAATAGAGGAAATCTAATGTATCCATCAGTAATTACTTATTTCAGGTCTACTATGAGCCGGGCCTTGTCTAGATGTCTAGAAGGTCTTTAAAAAGTCTGGGGTGCCTGGGTGGCTTAGTCGGTTAAGCGTCCGACTTTGTTCGGCTCAGGTCATGATCTCACGGTTTGTGGGTTCGAGCCCCACGTCGGGCTCTGTGCTGACGGCTAGCTCAGAGCCTGGAGCCTGCTTCAGATTCTTTATCTCCCTCTCTTTCTGGCCCTTCCCTGCTCACACTTTCTCTCTCTCTCTCTCTCAGAAATAAATATAACATTAAAAAATTTAAAAAAAGTCTCCCCCCTTGTAAAGCTTATAATAAACTTATAGAGGGAAGGGGGAAATTTAACAATACATTCAGTAAGTATGTGAAGTACATTGTGTGTTAGAAAGTAATGTCCACTATGAGAAAAAGCAGTCAGGTAGTGTTAAGTGGGATCAGGACTAAGAGTGGTGTGGGAGTGGTTACAATTTTAAATAGGGCCA